AGCAGTACTGGGATACAATCTCCAAAATGACAGAATGATCTCAGTTCAAATCCAAGGTAAACCATTCAACATCACAGTAGTCCAAGTCTATGCCCCAACCACTGGTGCTGAAGAGGCTGAAGCTGACCGGTTCTATGAAGGCCTACAACACCTTCTAGAATTAACACCAAAAATGATGTCTTTCTCAACATGGGGGATTAGAATGCTAAAGTAGGAAGCCAAAAGATAACTGGAATAACAGGCAAGTTTGGCCTTGGAGTACAAAATGAAGCAGGGCACAGGCTGGTGGAATTTTGTCAAGAGAATACGATGGTCATAGCAAACACTCTTTTCCAACAACCCAAGAGACGACTCTACACATGGACATCACCAGACGGTCAACACAGAAATCAGATTGACTATGTCCTCTGCAGCCAAAGATGGAGAAGCTCTATATAGTCAGTAAAAACTAGACCAGGAGCTGACCGTGGCTCATACCATGAGCTTCTGGCTGCAAACTTTAGGCTTAAATTGAAGAAAGTAGGGGAAAGTACGTATGACCTAAATCATATCCCTGATGAATATACAGTAGAGGTGACATAGATTTAAGGAATTAGATCTGACAGACAGAGTGCCTGAAGAACTATGGATGGAAGTTTGCAGCATTGTACAAGAGGTAGCAACTAAAACCATCCCAAAGAAAAAGAAATGCAAGAAAGCAAAATGGCTGTCTGAGGAAGCTTTACAAATAGCTGAGGAAAGAAGGGAAGCGAAAGGCAAGGGAGAAAGGGAAGGATGCACCCAATTGAATGCAGAATTCCAGAGAATAGCTAGAAGAGATAAGAGTGCCTTCTTAAATGAACAGTGCAAAGAAATCGAAGAAAACAGTAGAACAGGGAGGACTAGAGATCTGTTCAAGAAAATTGGAGATATGAAGGGAACATTTCATGCAAAGATGGGCATGCAAAAGGGCCAAAATGGCAGGGGCCTAACAGAGGCAGAAGAGATTAAGAAGAGGTGGCAAGATTACACAGAAGAACTATACAAGAAAGAGCTTAATGTCCCTGATAAGCACGATGGGGTGGTCACAGTCCTCAAGCCAGACATCCTGGAAAATGACGTCAAATGGGCCTTAGGAAATCTGCGCAACAACAAAGCTAGTGGAGGCAACAACATTCCAGCTGAGCTATTCAAAATCCTAAAAGACGATGCAGTAAAAGTGCTACACTCAATATGCCAGCTAATTTGGAAAACTCAACAGTGGCCACAGGATTAGAAAAGGTCAGTTTACATTTCGATCCCAAAGAGGGGCAATTCCAAAGAAAGTTCAAACTACCGCACCATTGCACTCATTTCACATGTTAGCAAAGTTATGCTCAAAATCCTACAAGCTAGGCTCCAGCTGTATGTGGACCGAGAACTACCAGAAGTACAGGCAGGATTTCGAAGAGGCAGAGGAACTAGAGAACAAATTGCCCACACACGCCGGCTTATGGAGAAAGCTAGGGAGTTCCAGAAAAACATCTGCTTCATTGACTATGCTAAAGCTTTTGACTGTGTGGATCAGAACAAATTGTGGCAAGTTCTTAAACAGATGGGAGTACCAGGCCATCTTATTTGTCTCTTGAGAAACCTGTATGCAGGTCAAGAAGCAACAGTGAGAACTGGACACAGAACCACTGGTTGGTTCAAAATTGAGAAAGGAGTTCGGCAAGACTGAAAACTGTTGCCTTGCCTATTTAACTTATATGCCGAGCATATCACAAGAAAGGCAGGGCTAGATGAATCACCAGTTGGAATTAAGATTGCTGGGAGAAATATCAACAACCTCAGATATGAAGATGATAACACTCTTAATGGCAGAAAGCTAAGAGGAACTAAAGAGCCTCTTGATGTGGGTGAAGGAGGAGACCGCCAAAGTTGGCTTGAAACTCAACATTAAGAAAACTAAGATCATGGCATCCGGTCCTATCACTTCCTGGGAAATAGATGGGGAAGAAATGGAGGTAGTGACAGATTTTATTTTCCTGGGCTCCAGGATCACTGCAGACAGGGACTGCAGCCAAGATATTAAAAGACACTCCTGGGGAGGAAAGCTATGGCAAATCTAGACAGCATACTAAAAAGCAGAGTCAGCACCCTGCCGACAGAAGTGTGTATAGTCAAAGCTTTGGTTTTCCCAGTTGCAATGTTTGGCTGTGAAAGTTGGACCATAAGGAAGGCTGAGCACCAAAGAATTGAGGCCTTTGAATTGTGGTGCTGGAGGAGACTCCTGTGAGTCCCTTGGACTGTAAGGCAATCGAACCAGTCAGTCCTAGTGGAGTTCAACCCTGACTGCTTTTTAGAAAACCAGCTACTGAAGATGAAACTCAAATACTTTGGCTACCTAATGAGAAGGAAGGACTCCCTGGAGAAGAGCCTAATGCTGGGAACAGTAGATGGCAAAAGAAGAAGGGGACGGCAGAGAATGAGGTGGCTAGATGGAGTCACCGAAGCAGTCGGCATGAGCTTAAGTGGACTCTGGGGGATGGCGGAGGACAGGAAGGCCTGGAGGAATGTTGTTCATGGGGTCGCGATGGGTCAGACTGCAACTTTGTTAGTCGCAACTTTGCGACTAACAATAACAACAAAAAATCAAAACCAACCAGGATTCTAAAGCCATAGCCTGCAATTAGCTTGTTCTGAGAAACCACACTGAAGACTTAATTGCAGCTTATCCCTATATGAGATATGAGGACAAACTACAGTTAGCTGAAAATTGACCAAATGCTTTGGAACTTCTCGTGCCAGCACTGGAGCATCAAGGAAAGCACATGAGCCTGAACTTTGTTCATAAAATGCTAAACCACCTTTCATTGTTATGCCTCAGTGCAGTCAGCATATATAATTACTGTATAGGAGTGGATCCAAATTCTTTGTTAGTTGCTTTGGGTTGTATTGCATTCCTGTACACACTAATTTTGGCCTAGTTTCCATTGAACACTATGTACCTTACACTGGAGTAAAGAAGCTTACAGCTGTGTTGTAAATCAGACCTCTGATAAATTCAGGGTGTGGAAGAAAGTAGCTCTTCTCTTGGGGCACTGTCATACCTTCTAAGTATGTATGATGCAGCCGTATTAAGAACGTGTGTATAATTTTGGTTGCCCTAAGGATATTGAAGAAGTACAGAAAAAGAAAAGAGAAAAGGGCAGCTTGAACAAAGTAGTTAGAATATATTTCCTGTGAGAATAAAGGGTAACGGTTTGGGTGATGTTTTGTTTAGAAATAACATGACTAAGGCTAGCACAAAGAAATATATAAAATGATAATGTCAAGAAAGTGGTTGAAGAGATATTTTTACAACAGTAGAATGCTTAGACACTCTGTGAAACAAAGAAATAATTGATGGGAGTAGATTCAGGGCAGACAAAAGAAAGTACTTTATCACATAGTGCATAATTTATTAGGCAAATTCTTGAATAGGCCTATGAATAGCTATTAGCCACGATAACTAACTTACGAATTCGGGGGAATATGACATTGAATATCAATTGCTGGGTTAGAATTGGAGGCTCCATCATGTGCTTTCTGAAGCATCTGGCTGGTTAGTTTGGGAAGCGAGATGATGGATTTGCACCACAGCCAGGATTTAAAGCCTTTTGGAGCAGTAAGCATTTATTTTTATTTATTCATTTATTTTAAGGAAGGTACTCTCAATTTTTAAGGTGGCTCTTTGACCACATATTACAATTTTATTATAGTGTACATTCCTAGAATTGCATGGGATTCTGAATGAACTGCCAGAAAACAGATGAGAAGTGGCATTCCACTCTTGTGGCATAACTACCAAAACCACACCTATACAAGCTGTGATCTGTGAATAGTTTGCAATGGGTTGCACAAGTGGAATAGGCCTCAGCCAGCTTGACCAAAGAATGGTCAGCTGTTATGGGAGCTTTGGCTGAAACATTAGGAAGGCAACAGGTTGTCTGCCTTGTTATGCAATGCAAGAAAGGTGTTTTATAGACCACACTGGCTCAATCACCTTGAGTTCCTTTATGAAAGAAAGGTGGGATA